ATCTAAAAATCCCAGGATGCAATGCTGTCCGTGTTAGTTGAATTCCTACCTTCCAGATCGCAATATGCATATTCAGAGATTTCACTATACTTCTGAAAAATATTCGAGCAAACGTGAAGGCGCAGCTGAAAGAGTATGACACTTGTAAAGTACTTCCCAGACTTTCATCTCTAGACACGGTCAATATTCTTTGTAGCATAGAAACCACGGAGAACCAATTCCTGTTCTCGAAAACAATTTCTAAACGACAGATGAAGGCTTTAAGAAAAACAACTGATAAAGTCAGACACTTTTCAATACTTGCCTATCAGCCTCGCGGCGACGATCTTTTTCTCCAATAGCAACCTCAGGGAAAGGAGACAGTTAACCGTTTGATGCCCGTCCGAAAAACACTTGAATGCAAAATGCATCATTTTAGTCTCGGCGGCACAGAAACCTTGTTCTGAGCTCTGAATTGATTTCGATAGTTGTTAACGTTGTTGATATCTTTCGTCTCTTACCAAATTGACCAAACTCAGCTCGTGAGAAAACTTTATCATGTTAACAAAAGCTTGCAAAATTGTCCCGCCTGTAACTCGACATGCAACCAAACCTGCGAAAAAAACTGCAGATTATCCAAAGTTTGAAAAGTGAAGTGTTCAAATTAGTTGCGCCTAGCGAAATACAGAGATGCGAAACAGTTTTGAAGATTTCCCTGAGCCAAAGAAATAATCATCTAACTGGAGATTGCTTCATTTTCCAATATTCATATCTTGCGCTTTTGTCATCTGTAAACAGATATTGGAATAATGGTCAAAAAATGAACTGTTTGATTTTCTCAGAATCCAATAAATTCATTCGATTCTGAGAAAACAGTTGGTTTTTTCCACTTAGGCTACTGTCAACTAAAACAAGGTGCCTTCGGGAAAATTCGTCTTTCGTGCACTACTTTTATAGAAACCGTAGAAAAATATATGTCATTTTAAAGTTTAGAAGTATAGTTCTCACAGTTTTCGTTTTCGCATGCGCGCAAAGAAGCCTTTTTAAAAACACAAAACTGACGGTGTTTACTTTACTAAATTACTAGCCTCTGCGTTACCACGCACCTTCAAATAAACTGGACAGCATCATTCAGTAGATAGTAGGCTGGCGAAGAGTTTGAGGCTTTTCGGATGTTCTTATTTGTTGAGAAAATCTATTTTGAAGTTGGATAATAGAAAATTTTCGGTTGTTGACGCTCCATGACGTCATTCGGGAAATACTCCGAATTTCGCAAAAGCCTCTCGTAGTTTGATGTGTTGATATCTTATAAAAATTCTGGTCAATTTTCACGAAAGTTTTACAAATGTACGAACCATATGAGTTCGTTTAAGCAGAGGTAACTCGCGTAAGAACGAACCTCGAGTTTAGTTTTTGGCCTTCAGATAAATTCACAGGTTTCGCACCTCATTTAAGCACGAGTCTACGCAGTCACACCACCTAGCAATGAAACACAACATCGAACCCACTGGTAAGTCCCCCTCTCTAATAAAACCCTCATCAAATAAGCCCATCTCTTATAAGCCCCCCCTCTAATTAGCCCCCCTTTTCTATTAAGCCCCTCTCTAATGAGTCCCTCTCTTTTGTAAGACCCCTCTCTAATAAGCCCCTATCGTTAACAAGCCCCCTCCCTAATAAGCCCTTCTTCTAATAACCCCCTTCTTATAAGCCCCTCTCTCTCTAATAAACCCCCTATCAAATAAGCCACCCTCTCTTATAAACCTTCCTCTCCAATTAGCTCCCCGCTCTTAAAAGAACCCCCTCTCTAATTAGCTCTCCTCTTTTATAAACCTTCCTCTCTAATTAGCTCCCCTTTCTTATAAGCCTTCCTATCTAATTAGCTCCCCTCTTTATTAAGCCTTCCTTTCTAATAAGCTCCCCTCTCTTACAAGCCTTCCTCTCCAAAAAGCCACCCTCTCTATTAAGCCCCACTCTAATTAGCTCCCCTCTCTTATAAGCCTTCCTCTCTAATTAGCTCCCCTCTCTTAAAAGCCTTCCTCTCTAATTAGCTCCCTTCTTTATTAAGTCCTCTCTCTGATAAGCTCCCCTCTCATATAAACCTTCCTCTCTAATTAGCTCCCCTCTCTTATAAGCCTTCCTCTCTAATTAGCTGCCCTCTCTTTTAAGCCTTCCTCTCTAATTAGCTCCCCCTCTTTATTAAGCCCCCTCTATGATAAGCTCTCCTCTCTTATAAACCTTCCTCTCTAATTAGCTCCCCTCTTTACTAAGTCCCCTCTCTAGTTAGCTCCCCTCTATTATGAGCCATCCTCTCTAATTAGCTCCCCTCTCTTATAAGCCTTCCTCTCTAATTAGCTCCCCTCTCTTATAAGCCTTCCTCTCTAATTAGCTCCCCTCTCTTATAAGCCTTTCTCTTTAATTAGCTCCCCTCTCTTGAAAGCCTTCCTCTCTAATTAGCTCCCCTCTTTATTAAGTCCCCTCTCTGATAAGCTCTCCTCTCTTATAAACCTTCCTCTCTTATTAGCTCCCCTCTCTTATAAGCCTTCCTCTCTAATTAGCTCCCCTCTGTATTAAGCCCCCTCTCTGATAAGCTCTCCTCTCTTATAAACCTTCCTCTCTAATTAGCTCTCCTCTCTTATAAGCCTTCCTCTCTAATTAGCTCCCCTCTCTTATAAGCCTTCCTCTCTAATTAGCTCCCCTCTCTTATAAACCCATCTCTCTAATTAGCTCCCCTCTTTATTAAGCCCCCTCTCTGATAAGCTCTCCTCTCTTATAAACCTTCCTCTCTAATTAGCTCCCCTCTTTATTAAGTCCCCTCTCTGATAAGCTCTCCTCTCTTATAAACCTTCCTCTCTAATTAGCTCTCCTCTCTTATAAGCCTTCCTCTCTAATTAGCTCTCCTCTCTTATAAACCTTCCTCTCTAATTAGCTCCCCTCTTTATTAAGCCCCCTCTCTGATAAGCTCTCCTCTCTTATAAGCCTTCCTCTCTAATTAGCTCCCCTCGTTATTAAGCCCCCTCTCTAATTAACTCTCCTCTCTTATAAACCTTCCTCTCTAATTAGCTCTCCTCTCTTATAAGCCTTCCTCTCTAATTAGCTCCCTTCTTTATTATGCCCCCTCTCTGATAAGCTCCCCTCTCTTATAAACCTTCCTCTCTAATTAGCTCCCCTCTCTTATAAGCCTTCCTCTCTAATTAGCTCCCCTCTCTTATAAGCCTTCCTCTCTAATTAGCTCCCCTCTCTTATAAGCCTTCCTTTCTAATTAGCTCCCCTCTATTATAAGCCTTCCTCTCTAATTAGCTCCCCTCTTCTATAAGACTTCCTCTCTAATTAGCTCCCCTCTCTTATAAGCCTTCCTCTCTAATTAGCTCCCCTCTCTTATAAGCCTTCCTCTCTAATTAGCTCCCCTCTTTATTAAGCCCCATCTCTGATAAGCTCTCCTCTCTTATAAACCTTCCTCTCTAATTAGCTCCCCTCTCTTATAAGCCATCCTCTCTAATTAGCTCCCCTCTCTTATAAGCCTTCCTCTCTAATTAGCTCCCCTCTCTTATAAGCCTTCCTCTCTAATTAGCTCCCCTCTTTATTAAGCCCCCTCTCTAGTTAGCTCTCCTGTCTTATAAGCCTTCCTCTCTTATTAGCTCCCCTTTCTTATAAGCCATCCTCTCTAATTATTAGCCCCATCTCTGATAAGTCCTCTCCCTTATAAGCCCATAGCTCTAATAAGCCCTTTTTCTTGTAAGTCCCATCTCTAATAAGCCCTCTCTCTTATAAGCTCCATCTTGTCCCTCTCTCTTATAAGCCCCATCTCTAACAAGCCCTTTTTCTTGTAAGTCCCATCTCTAATAAGCCCTCTCTCTTATAAGCTCCATCTTTAATAAGCCCTCTCTCTTATAAGCCCCATCGCTAATAAGTTCTCTCTAATAAGCCTCTATCCTTAATAGACCATCCTCTTTAATAAGCCTCTTTTCTAATAATTTCCTCTTTCTAATAAGCCTCTTTTTTAATAATCCCCTTCTCCAATAAGTCTCTTTTTTAATAATCCCCCCTCTCTAATAACCCACCCTGTCTAATAAGCTCCCTCTCTAATGAGCCTCGTCGTTTGTAAGTCTCCCTCTATAATAAGCCACACTCTCTGGGTCGCCCCTCTCTCTAATAAGCCCTCTCTCTAATAAGCGCCCTCTCTAATAGTCCCTCTCTCTAATAAGCCCTAATGATGCGTTCGTATCTCAGACGCTTTGGGAATATTCCTCATCTGAATCTAACGTAAGTATTTCGCGTGATTTGAGGATATGTTTCATGTAGTTCTAACTTTATTTTCTCTTGCATTGGAAATATTCTTTATTTAATCAAAAATTGGTATCTCGAGTAGATCGGGAATGTGTATTTATTGACTGAGTGGTATTTCTACTCGATTCGCGCGTTATTTATCTTCTACTTAGTGCTGTTGAATAATGAATACTAATACGTTACTATTAAATTTTAAACCCCGAATGTTCTGATTGCCGGGTTCACTCAACTCCAGTTAGCAGCTCATATTCCGCGTTACCTTATATGGAAACGCATTGTGCCAACTGATGCAGAACTGAAAAGATACCCCAAATATCCAAACGTTCGGGATTTAATAAAAATTTAATAAAACAATTATTTTATTCGCATACGAGATTGCATTTGTCAAAGCCAACTCGACACAACACGCCTCGTTGGCAATTTTATTGGCTCTAACAAAATATTTCTTATCGGAATATTTATTCTTGTATTTCGCGTGCCTTGACTTAATTGCCTTTCTGATTATTGCTCCAGTGTCTAACGTGTTTTAAGATTATTCCTCACCTGATTTTTTCGTTGTTATTCCTTATGTATTGATTTTTCCCTATCTGGACTACCTCGTAAGTAACTTGTTTATTTATCTCTTTTATTATTGCTTTGGTATAAGTTCGATTTGAGTTCACCCCTCTCGGTTCTTTAACTTTATTATCAAATAAACCTCTCTTCCTTATTTAATTGAACGTTTCCTATCTCGACCAAGTGGCTTCATAACGTGTCATCATGAAGGCCTTAGGCGCTGATTTGAGGACTTCAGTGACGCTCACGACTCTGATAAAATATTAAATCTTAAAATGGGAAGCTTTTCAGTTGGTTTAGTAGTTAATCTTTATTATACTTCTATTACATTTTCAGTACAATTTCCATTAAAAGTAGTAATTTCGAAAAAAACACTATTCGCTTCGTCTTGACTCCTGACTCGACACACGCTATAATGTACGCATCCACAAAACTTAGTGATCTTGGCCTTTTGAGTTTTGTAGCAGCCATTCTTGTTGGTCAGTGGTATTACTCTGGCTCCCTAACACCTCGTGACATTCAAGATGGTCTCATAAAACGCGGTTTTCCTGTTTCAAATTATGTCGTTTCTCACCTGTCATGCGTAGTTTATGAATAATAACGCAACGTGTGAGATTGTGTTGGGATAAATGGAAACTCAAGCAAGGAATCATGTAGTACTGATTACAGATAGATTTATTATCGTATGTCTCTGCTAAATGAGGTAAGAGCATTTTTGCCTTTTGAAACATATATCGAGTTGGTTAACAGCAGTAAAAGTGAATTTACAACGTCAAGCGAACAAGATCCTTCCAGAGACCAAATTCTCGAAACCGAAAAAGAAAATCGGATTACCATGAAATAAATGCACTTTATTTCAAATAAAATCTTCCCTATGCTTTCTAATCCCGTATTCCCGGACTTCTTTTGAGTCATCGCTGAGGTTGAGTATCGCGTGCGCGAGAACTACATTGTCTAGGGGTGCCGACGTAAGTGTTTATTCGCAAAAATATAACTTCATGAATAACCTTGGTAAGGAATATTGAAGTATTCATCATCGATGAAGTATTTTTTAGCCTTCTTTTATGTTACAAACGTATTCTGGGCTCGTTCTCATTGCAATATTGTTTTTTTTTCTTTATTAAAGCATGTGATCCGCCTGGCGTATACTGCTTCGCGTATTCAACTCGAGCACAGTAACCAGCGGTGCAATTAAAAAAAATACAAAAAAAGAATATAAATACTGTGGGAAAGGACATGAACAGAGCTGGAGTTCGTGATTTAAATCATTAGAAAAGGTTAGGCTCTGAACGTTTTTTAAAGTGAACGAGCTGTAAGCAATTGTCGTCTGAAAAAGTTACGAAAACCTGACGAGTGGCCATAAACACTGTGCATACTGTACCACACTATACTAATCATACGATGCAACTCTTCGTTTGATGGTGTCAAGTTTTTTTCTATGAATTTTGTGCACTAATTTCTAAACATTCATCTTTAGTACTTACATGACTTACGCTTATCACGAAAACATCTATTAGTCAATAGCTATTATAACGATTCAGTTAGTTACAACTAGCCAACATCAAAAAAATATATATTTACTTAAAAACAAATAAGTTATGATCCATGATCAGCCACGTGTGATAACATAATGGAAACTTGTGATTGGACTCATCCAGCTGTGCTCTAATAATTGGTCTGTCAAAGTTCTGAAAGGAAGAATGTTATGGCATTGTTACCAATTCACGGCTGCCTAGGTAGCCGTACCCTTCCCCCGAAGGTGAAACGAGGGAGAGGGGAGAGTAAGCGGCTCCTTCGTGGTTCCGGATTAAATCAAGTCATGTTTGCCAAGTTGCTTGTTTTCATATAACCATGAAAATTGAACGGCGGTAGTGATGATATATATCCAATGATGCAGATATCATGAGGTACAGCACGTTAATTCTTGTTATAGTACTAGTGATACTAACTTGTTTAAATTTTGATATTGGGACGAGTTTTATGTATAACTGACTATCTCTACAGTCATTGTAGCGCTACTTGGCGCACATGATTGTCACCAGATCAGGAAAGCTACGTATCAGTTCTTATGATCCTTGTAAAAGGAACATAACTATCACTTAATCATAAAACGCTACACATTGCATGGTGCACCCGTACGCGGTGCTAGATATATATGTATATATGTCTGGGACTCCCATATTTCATTTCGAATGTTAATCATGGCAAATCTCGACTTTAACTCAATATCTGACACGTCTGGTATCAAACTGTGAGGGTTTTCGTGTTGGATTGAAAAATGATTTTCTGAAAATCATTCAGAGATGGCAACTGTGGCCGTCACTTCTATGCTAGCAACTGTGCTTCAATGCTGATGCTTCGAGGATCATAACGAAAGCTGTATCAATTTTGATCTCTGAGGGCAAATTTATTCTAAGATCGGAGTTAGCCCACCGCCTAACGGCTACTCATAAGCTTGATCATTTCAATGTAAAACATTACCGCGTTCTTTCGTTTAGTCCTTTGATTATACATCTAGACACACTTGGATACTCTCTTGTGAATAAAGTTTCAAGTCATGATTCATCGTAAAATTAAATCCGTTTGATCATGTTTCATCATTCATCGTTGTGTCGGTGGCACTACCTTTCTGCCCGTGTGGATACTTAGAAGTCTTACCACTTGAGAAAAAGTGGTTTTACTTTCTTGTACACTTTCTCTGTATATTCGTGCTTAGAATATACTGGAAATTTTTCTAACGAGATGCTGTATTTGACAAGAGATATACTAAATGCACGTACGATTTAGAATGTCGTAATTCCTAATGGTGGGGTTATCTTTCATGTTGCGGTTACAGTCTTATTTCAGTTGCGGTTGCCGTTTTGAAAGGAAACCTCAGAGCTGTGCAAGACAGAGATAACCCACTGTTAAATTGATTCTCCGAAACCGCAGTTGGGGCTGATGATGCTGACAAATTGCGCACATTTTTTGTTGTAGAAATGTAGTGTTCATTGTTCAGTCTGTCACGCGATTACTGATCAGTTCTAGGTTATGGACCTTTGAATTTGAGGATTGTTGCCGAGAAAAACATGAATCGTTGACTCTACGCAAGAATCCACGTCGACGCAGTTGTCGTTATTGACTGTTGTTAAACCCTACATTACTACATTACTACTGAGGCGTATCACTGAATTTGCGAATTGATTCTCCGAAACCGCAGTTGGGGCTGATAATGCTGACAAATTGCGCACATTTTTTGTTGTAGAAATGTAGTGTTCATTGTTCAGTCTGTCACGCGATTACTGATCAGTTCTAGATTATGGACCTTTGGATTTGAGGATTGTTGCGATGAAATGCGGTTCAAGTTATAGCGTAAGTATAATCATTAGCCGAGAAAAACATGAATCGTTGACTCTACGCAAGAATCCACGTCGACGCAGTTGTCGTTATTGACTGTTGTTAAACCCTACATTACTACATTACTACTGAAGCGTATCACTGAAGTTGCGATGATAAGATGTTTGTTTCACTACGATTTATTTGCGAAAAAACGTCCTAGGGCGAAGTTTGCTAACGCTGCTTTACGCATGTTTGGATTACAGCATGGAAATCTTTTACTTGTACTAGAAAACATGGAAATCAAAATATCTCATAAACTGTTCGGGCAAGTTTGACTGACTATGTACACAAGCTGCTTTTCAGTTACATGATATCTGTAATTTGAAAGGGTCAGCGTATGTAATAGAAATTTGGGAAGGGATTCTTGGTTAGGGATTCTTGGTTACAAAGACTTTCAGAGCCTGAGATTCCTCATCACCCCATGAATCTTCAAGAATATGCAGTGACAAATTTAGGTACGCATAACTAATTAGCAAGGTTTCTCAGGTAAGGAACTCTTGAGCAAGCGTAGTCGCAACGGTATTTGAACAATTTTGATATGTGTTTCAGATATGAAAATCATTCCACTCTCATGCCTGTTTTAATGTATTTCGTTTATTTCCATGTTTTCTGCTAATTGTAAATCAAAAGTTAGTGTATGAATTCATCTTTTTTGCCCGCATTGCCCAGGATAGATGAATCGCCTACAGCAATTAGCCTCCGCCGTTCGAAATTGGCGCTAGTGCAACATCTGACTCCCTATTCGCTTTTGGTGCAAAGTTTACGTCCCTTTTCGTAGGTCGATTTTCATCAATTCTATCCAATCAAATTACAGTAATTCCCTCTCGTGGGCATGCCCAGACATGCCCCAAAATACGTAGTTATTGTGCCATGATAAGTTTGATCTAAATCTCCTCGTAATTCTCAGATTGTTTCCCACTATGTATTAAAACCATTAAACACTAGATGTTTTTTAATTGTTGGAATTGTTAATTTATCACACGCGTTGTTCTTAACTAAAATTTGGCTCATTTTAAACATGTTTCACCTGGTAATAGACTTGTCACTTAGCCAGCTTCAAAAGCCGGTGAACCGCAAAGTGCAAACTTTCAGCTCTTAGACTGTTGGCATTTCGTCTCGACGCAGACCGTTTTGCAATCGTCGAATTTAATTTTCAAGAGTTGATACATTTAATTAACAAGACAGTGATGAAAGTGAATGGACGGTAAACCTTGATGTCTTCCAGCTTGACAATTGTTGGCCGAGACGCTGTGCATAGAGACAATTCGTTGATAGAATAGATACTCATTAACTCGTTGATAGAATAGATACTCATATTATTACCTCGTGCTAAGGCCTGTCACATAAATATACCGCTACTGTAGGTTACCATGTTCGGTCTGATTTGGAGCCTCTGTCATTTTCATGACGCACGTGCCTTTCAGAACACAAGAAAGTCAACTCAAATTTGAGCCACTTGAGCTATTTTGCTTTGAGGTTCACGACATGATCCAAGTCGTTGAAAGAGCTGCAGCTAAACTTAAAGTGAAGTTTACTAAGCGCCTCCGCTGCCTTTGAACTATCTTTGTTTTTTTTTATGAAGACTGACAGACCGTGAGATACTGCGGAGTATTACGCTCGCCAGTATTTATAATTATCTTTGAGGTTATTCGCAAGTGCTCATGGATATAGATGCTTTTGTATTTTCTGGTTGAACGGGACGTTTTAGATGGATGCCTAGAAAGTCCTTATGAAGTGAGGCCAGACTCTCCACTTACATCTATCTTTTGTGGAATTATTTCCGTCATCGAATATGTATCTAAATTGTAAAATCTTAGCCTGATCGGGACAGTTTGAAAAGGGTTAACAAATTGTACGTTAGAATATAAGAGCAAAATGCTGACATATCTAAACTTTAAGACATTTCCTAAGCCGCCGCACTCAGATACATTTCCTGAAAGAAGCGACAACCGGAAATACGTCTGCGTAAGAAGGCCACATTCTCAGGAAATTCAATTCGATCAATTGAATTGGTTGAAAGAATGAAGCCTTTTTATGTCGCCCGCGTGCTTTTTGCTCTTGTGAGTTCAAACCTGTTCAAAAAAATGACTCTAATGCACTTATTACACGCGCATGAATTGTTCAAAACTCAATTCTAGTGGGGCATTTCTTTCTCGTTTGTTTCATGCCTTGACTACCTAGAACTGAATCGTATCACTGTTAGGGTCATTTAGATTATGCTCGAAAATTTTGACCGTCAACTTAAAAAAAAAAAGGCGTTTGGAAAAAATTATGTCAAAAATTTTCATTATGTGCAATTAAATAGCCCCTGTCCCCATTCCTACCACCGTCAGGTAAAACTTGCAGAGAATAGAAGGCTCACCGAATTAAGTTCATATCACAACATTTAACTGGATCAAATACCTTAAATACAAGCAAGAAAAACAGGCTAACTATTGATAGTCCTCAGACTACAGAATTTATCTCTTGTCAAACAGTAACGTCAAGGGAGTTGCTTAAGAATTTTATTCATTATGCCGGCATTATGCTCGATGCTCTGACCATAGCATTATGCCCAAAACGATGTCAGTACAATTTATCTGACCCTAATCACTACTAAGATTCCACGCGTTGAAAAATTCAAAGGGTACGATTAACACCTCAACGATTTCCATTACTTTCCGAGATTGTGCAACAAACATCGGATTGTAAACAAATTAAACTTCTAACTTTCATAGCGTTCTAACTCTGTGGCAACGTAATTGTTCCAGTCCGTGTAAGAGCTAGGCATGTGCAGCCATACGTGAAAAAATAAATGATAAAAAAAGGAAATTCTACGTGGTCACATCTGCGCCGCGGTAATATTTTAAGCATGCGGAGAAAATCTTGAAGTCAATCCAAGTGACAAACAAAAATTCTGCTAGTTGGTTTCCAGAGGCGACGCATTTGAGCCAAAAATAAATAATAATAACGGCCTTTTATTAAAAAAAAAAAAAAGCAGCCTTTTCCAATAAAGCCCCGCGAGACCTTTTTACTTTAGAGCTGTAAAATTACCTCGCACATCATCCCAGCTTACGGACAATGATCGAGCTTTACGGCCGGTCAGGGTAAGAAAAATAAATTTTTTTGTAAGGAAGACTTCTTCGCGCGTTCTGCATTCGCCTAAGTTGAATCTGGAAGGAATAATCTTAATTAAGTGTGAGAAAGTTAATTTTTAGGTGGCATCACACTTTCCCAGATTCTGCACTAGTTCCCAGTTTACAGTTTTGCAGGTCAAGCGGCGCATGTACAGTAACTGCGCATGTCTTAAGCGCGTGTGTTCTGGAAATGGTTGAAGTAAGTGACTAAAATGGTAAGGTAAGACAAACAGAGAAAATCTTAATGTAGCAATCGAGACCCTCTCTCGTCTTTTACTTTGATTCCTTAATGATCAACTCGTTTGTCACCATAATTTACTGGTACACGCATGATAAATTAAATAATTTGAACTGCCAAACCTGTGGAAAGTATAGATTTTAAGGTTTGTAGGTCAAAGTAGTCCGCCACTGAGATACAAGTCACCGTCCGTAGAGATTTACATGTAGACATCCAAGTAAAAGAGTGGTAGAATTGACCAAGTAAGGAAAGGAGGTGGGCCAATAAGAGACATTATCATACATCCAGCATGGGTAGTGTGAAGCGAATTCAATGTACTGATTGGCTATCCAAGCAGTCAAAATGGGCCCATTTTGCCTGCTTGAGATCAGCCGCATTGATCCTGCACAAGAAATAAATGGCTTGGAAGGGACTTAAAAGTTCATAATGTTTTGACTATGGCAATGTTTGATTTGCAAAAATGGGAAGAACAAAAAGAGCAAAGAAAACATAAATGACTCTCATGGATTTATAGTGCTATAAACACTGTTCAATTTCTTTTTTTTCTGGCTCTCGAGATAAACCAGTCATTCTTGATTCTTATTATGCTGACTTTGTCTCTGTCAATAAAAATGCAAAAACAGAATGTGGCCAAAATCCAGCCATCTTGACCTCATGCTTAGTCAATAATGTATATTTATTAGTGTTGGCAATGGAGTCACTAAAAGTGGTAGAAGACAGCCAAAATAAATAAAATAAAATAAAATATGAGCAACTTTTTGGTCTATTGTGCAACCAAAAATGGTTGGCTTTCCTTCCCATCCCGTGAAATAGAGTAATTCTTTATTCTTAATAAAGTGAAATATTTTTGCTATTTAATATATCCTTTATCATTCAAGCTTTTTTGGTGACAACTACTGGGACCTTGACTTTGTCTTTGTCCACAAAAACACAATAAAAGAATTTGGCCAATATCCAGTGATCTTAATCTCACACTTAGTCAGTAACACATGTGTAATCTTATACAAGGATTTGCTGCTGGGGGCCAGTAGGGGGGGTTGCTGTCTATTTTGCTGCTGCACCTGTTTTTTTTTGTTTGTTTAATGCAGCTGCTGAAAATTGAAAGATTCCAATATAGAACTTCATCTCATGTTTATTTTTATATCTCAATTTGCACCAGTTAAAGATAGAGTAGGTATTCAATTGTAGTCATGATAATGCACAATGGGCCTAGATACCAAAATCTAGAAAATCTCTTAAAAATTTCTAGAAATCTCCTTTTTTATTTCCAAAAATCTTGAATTTTTTCCTACAAATTCCACGTCTTATTTTTTGTTAATAATCACATAATTTTCATTAACTGTCAGATTCCCAGCAGTGAAATTGCATGAAAGCACCTTTAAACTGATTCTAAATAATTTATTTACTAGACAAAATAAGTGGTTTGTCAGCTTTGTCTCCTTACAGAATTCTCCTTGTAACAAACAGTAACAACACTAAACAGTTGGCACTGAGGCCCCTCAGTGATGCTAAAAAGGCTTGTAATGGTGATTATGTTGAAGGAGCCTGCTTGGAAACAGTGGAAGAACACTGAAGAAGCTTTTTTGAAACACGTACATTTGTTGTTGTTTTTTTAACATTATTGTCTAAAAAAAAAAAAACTCCTCAAATTCTCTAAAAGTCCAGTTTGACTCTGAAAATCATAAGGAAAATCTGAATTTTTGTATATAGCTTTAATCCAAATCTTTTGTTGAAGTACTATAGGGAGTACTAAGTTGTTAGGGAGTTTTGAAGGATTTTGGGAGGTTTGAAATAGTTTTACAAATAGCAGTTTAAGTAAAATTATTTAGATTTTTCCACATGTGAAAGTGTTATACTGTGGCCTATGCAGACAAACAGTTTAAATTTATAAACAAAGTATCATGGGAAAAATTTTTCTTTTTTCTTCGTGTGTTACTCATATTACTTACTTCTGTAATTTTTTATTTCAAAGATTTTATTTTTGACCCTTTTGCATCTCCATATCAGTTTGAATCTGTCACCCTATGGAAAGATGTCTATTTAAACCCTTCCACACTGGAAGAATGCATTATCCTAACTGTCTGCGATGCAATTCTTTAAAGGTAGTAGTAGTTCTAAGAATTTTTACAGGTAGATCAGTAATATCCTCCAGTTGATATTTGCTTTTATTCTCCTAACCTAGCAGCTCGATAATGTGTTGATAGTGTGGGGAGAAATTACTTCTTAATCACTCCTGGGAGTGAAAGGATTTCAAAGGATATCTGATTGAAATAATTGTTTGTTCTGGATGGAAGGCAGAATTGTTTGGATAAAATTGTAGATGTGCATTTGTATCAGTGAATCTTGTCCTGACTTTATGTCACTTCATATTCAAGTCACACCGTTCAGAGTTCTCTATGTCACACAAATTGCCATTCTTTGTGTCACACAGTTCTGGTGTCTGTGTAACATAGTTCTGTCAAGTGTTCATGCATGTCAAATTCTTTTAATCATTTTGAAAAGAAACTGTTCAGTCACAAGAGAAAAGACATTTATTCCATTCTGTAATGAACTATGACCATACTGATAGATTTACTGTCTTTTCAGCCCTAAGAATTACCTGCATGATACAAGAATTAACTTTCTTTGTGCTGATGAATACATGTATCCTATGAGGATATTCGCTGGACAAAGTCCTTGAAAAAGTTTGAAAGCTTTTCTTAAAACAGTGATTAGCATCTCCAACTCCAGTTTTTGTTTGGATTGTGTTTTTTTTACAGTCAAGAGAAACCATAATACTGTAGTTCTAAATCTGATTACAGAGATCTCACCGGTGACTGGTCATACGGTAAAGGATGGATTTAACCTAAGAAAGTTCTTGGGAGTTGTAAGGAAACTTATTTGTCAGAAAATTTAAATGATTCATGTCTAATACATGTACATTTGATGTTTTTCAAAAACCATACATTGTATACAATATTTTGGATAGTGGTGAGGTAAACCAATATTAAGTGCAAAACAAAACTAATTACTCTGAAGTAACGGATTTACAAACGTACATTCTAGGGTTTTTAGCTTTTCCAACTGAATCTACATGTGCTATGTTTGAAATACACTAAAACTAATTATTTCAAGTTCTTGTAATGTTGGGATCTTGAACTTTCAAAGTTCTTCAGCACCCTGTGTATTAAGTTTAAGAAGGAACTAAGGTTGGATAGAAAGCATTGGGTGGTAGCCTTAATCAGATCTATTCAGATTTTGGATTTTATTGCTACTGTTAGGAATTTCTATTGCCATTAAGCTATACTTTTCAACAAATGTACATGTTTAGTGACCTAATGTTCATGTACATGATTGCATCTTGTGCCATATCTTTAAAAAGAGAAGAATACTGTGAGCCATATAAGACTCGAGAGTACATTTTATGTGCTGTGTATGCTATTATTCCCACATGTGGTGTTAAACATTCTAATATTTTAAAAGGTAAACTTTTAAATGTACTTTCTACACATATCTAACATATTTAACATGAAGACATTTTAACCCTTTCACTGCCAAGAGTATATTTGTCCTTACAATGTCAATACATCTCCCAACAGAGGGAAGATGAGACATGGGAAAAATTACATATATCATCTTGGGGACTTTGTTTCACTCCATACTTAATTCTTAGATGTACTTAAGTATAAGAGAAAACAAGGCTAACATTCTAGAGAATTGATGACTAGATCTTGAGAATGAAACAGTTAATGAAGATTTACCGCTCATAAACTTCATGTTTTTTTTTTTTAGAAAAAAAGACACACGGAAACTATCATTATCAATCTGCCTTGTTATTAAAGCTGCATTTTGAGTAGTTTCAGAAAACTGTTAAGCTCAATATTCTAAACTCAGAGGTCAATTTTGTACATTACCTGTATTTAAGAGTGAAAGAAAAATTTGAATAACTCACCATTGCAACTGATGAATCCATAAGCCAAGAAGGTTGTACAGGTATGGTTTCCATTTCTCCTTGGGAACGCATCTGTTGGCTTTCAAAGATGACTTGTGCCAACATTCTGCTGTCAATAAATTCATGAGTTAAGGATAATGACGTAGTAATGAATTTGGTCCTGCCCTCTAATATTTGAATATCTGCAGCTTCTGTGATTGTATAACTTGAATTGTGCAAGAAAATTGTGTGTCAAGCACTCTGTATGATTGCTAATAATCATAAATTGTACTGTACCTTGTTTGCATTGAAGGTGTGTCATCAGGCACCTGTAAAATAAAATGTAATTCAGCTTTGAATTAAGAAGACATGTTATCTGCTGCAGCCATAAAGGAACACTTAACCCTTTAGCTCCCAGAAACCATTAATAGGTGGAAGAAGTTATCTTGATTAAACACCAAAATCTTATAACAAATTTACAAAGAAATGTGTAGCAGCCGGAGAGGAGAATTAGCAATCAGATCTTGGGAGTTAAAGGGGGTTAAAGTTTAAGTTGATAAAACAAAGGAAAAAAATCATGAGATTTATCACCTCATAGCTAATACACTTTTTAACCTGAACTCTTGTAATAATATTATATTATGTAGATATTATCAAAAAGTATTATCTACACTCATACATAACACATTTGCATTTAGCTTCAATTTTGACAACCCAGCAATATTCTTGGATTATTTTTTATCTTGGTATCTAACTTGCATACTTATGTAATATCTTATTATGGGGCCCCCATGTCATCAGCTTTATTACTCTAATGTGCTTTTCATGTGATGGGAAGACTAATTTTTCTTGTATCCCTTCCCAAGTGGTGTGAAATATGTATCTTGTTGACAATCTGCATAGTAGAAATGTGTCCTGATACATGAGGCTGATTGGGGAAAATGTGATGCCTATTTGTTGTGAGGGCATGTACATGTACAAAAGTTTGGCCAAGGAGGGGGAAAAATTCATATTTTAGTCAGAGGTAGACTTAAATTTGTAACCTGGCACTTAAAAGGGAAGTTTAATTTTTAAAAGATTCTTCATACCTCCAGGTCCAATATCAGAAACTGAGAGAATGTGTCAATCAGATCATCCCTAAAATGAATTAAGCAGGGCAGAGGTAAGTTCATGCCTCAGTTTGTTTACAGTTAACTGTTTACATTAAACTTGGTTTCTAAGTGTGATATCCCATGCATGCATGCATACATGCATGCATGAAAATAAATCAACATATTTTCATGATAAACAGTGTGAGAGCATAGACTTGTCCATGTCATGTGTTAGAGGTAAGAGATGAATAATTCTTGCAAGCAAGATAAACATTTGTTATTTGAAGGACAATCTGGGATGCTTTAGACTGCACATATGTACTCATTGTTTGCAACTATAAGATTATCAATACATATACAGTGTGTATACAGTCATGGCTATCATGATTATAAATACTAGATCTGGAAACAATTCAAAGGTAACAGTTTAAAATGCAAGTATAAGTGATTTCTCTCAAGGGGGACATAAAGGGGATTATAGATTGACATAGTTTTGCTTCTGGAATGTGTAAATTGAACGAAGAGTTTTTCAACTTACCGATCTGTGCCCATAAATCTGTCCTGCTCCTGAAACAAACAGTTGCACTATTCATCAATGCATAGCAACGAGTGGAATAGAAGACAGAGTTTGCTTGAAATATGTGAGATTTATTGGAAAATTCATTTTACCTTTAACTACAACTTATCACTGTCGTTAGCAAGGGTATTCTCGATACACACTGATCGTTACTGCATTTAGTGCTTACAGCTGTATGACATACCCTTCTTTAAATTACTGATTGCCACTTAAGGTTGAAGTAGTTATTCAGCCATATCCTCTTTGACCCTCTACATAATTAATATCCGAATCGCAGAAGGATCTTGGAATCTTGGAGTTCTACAGTTAGGTCATACTATCATTTTTGTCTGTGACAGCTGATGATAGGTTTTGAATTTATCGACGTGAAAGTTGAACGGTTTTTCCGAAAAGGCACTTCATCACGATGTAAGAGAAGGCGAAAGCGAGCAAAAGTAACAGGAAATAAAACGACTGCCTTTTGAGCTTAAATGAAATCCTCCGAAATTTTAGACCTTGTACAGTAACATTTACACACCCGGCTGCATAAATTGCATGCTGCTAGTATGCTTCATGGCAAACGATGAGATTTCACAAGACTGAAGTCACTTTGTTTAAACGTTCATGAAGATGGCTTTAGTTGGCACCACACAGCGAGTTTCTATGAACTTGAACAGGTATAGTAAGAACGAATTGTTGTTGAATTGAACTAGCTTTGGAGATTCATGAACGTGCATGAATGTTGAAATAGTACCTTTTTGGAATGAAAAACAGACTTTTTACTGAAGTAGCTCTAAAGTATCGGTATTGGGTTAGATTAGAAGATGCTTAGAATTAAGGATAGCATTAAAGTGATAATCATCGTGCTGTATAGCAGTAGGACAGTTAGAGATAGATAGCTTTGCCTTTAAATGTTCACACATGGTACTTACGTTTGCGTTGTTGTTGGCCATTATTCTTGCTCCTTGGAAAACTCTATGGTATAACTATAGAAGAGTTGATGGTGCAGTTAGTTTATACAAATTCCTCAAAGTTCGCGTTTTCAACGTGTCTGTGATACTTTGACTTTCCAAGTTTTACTTTGGAGCGATTTGTGTTTAACAAGACCTCTAACAACTGTAAACATTCTGCTGATTATGAATGATTGCGGTATGATTCCAAATACGTGGTTTTGATTTTCTTGGGCCCCGCAGGAGGCCAAGTTCTTAGCCCTTACCGAGTTGCTCCAGTCGCAAGTGATGGAATGGCGTCTTTTAGGTAATCAAAATTACTTCGCGCGGGTACTGTTCTAGGCGACATAAAGCTGGTCATCGCGGAATCGTTGCGAACGATACACTTAACACAATAAAAGTGCTGGGATCTATTTCTATGGACGGTTTAGGGGAGCTGAAAAAGTGATACCTCGTGCTCTGTTACAATTTGTGAAATGTGCCATCAGAAGAGCGACAGTGCGTTCTTTGTCTCATGGGCGGTAAATTTTCTCAAATCATTGCAAGACTCGAGAAAAATACCGCCGAAATAGTTGTGCAAAATGGGAAACAAACCTACCTTAGCTGAGCTGGAGGAATAAGGTGTTGATTTCTTCCTCGACTCCATGTGGTAGGTCGACTCTACGTCACGGATAACTCACAGATGATTGGCTCAGTCGCTATTAACAATAGGTTACACTTGATCAATTCAAAGATGATTGCAATCGAAGAAGTCATGTTTCGGGTTGTGAAGCAAGTTTTGGGGTGGCAGTCGATTTGATTGAAGTTTTTGAAAACCGCCTCTGAATTAGATAAAGAGAACGCAAGGATTGAGTGGAACCCATCAGATTTTTTCCTGTACTGGAAGTTTGTTAGGCGGTTAGAGGGACGTACATTTGTATACTTCACGAAATACTGCTTTTACTTTTTGACCGTTATTTGTATGATATAACTAAAACAGTGATAATGGGACTTGTAAACAAACGCATTTAGCGCCCGAATGCAGGTCGAACGTTTGTTGTTTTTTTTGCGAGAAATTTAGCCGTTGTCAATTCCTTCGCTGCTATGATCTTAAAAAAATAATCATCCCAACTAATGCTAAACTCTTCTTTGTTTGTTACTGCCGATAATGTGGTGTCTTGCATCAGAGCCATATAAAAACTAAGTTGATTTTGTTATTCATTTTCTATACTAGGTTGTGTGATAAGGTATTGAAATTGTTGGGAGAAATTACATACCAATTACTACCAGGATTGAAAGGATTAAAGTGCCCAGTGAAAATTCTCCTGTAATATGGATTGTGTTCGGTGAAACTCTATCCGTCACAGACAGTTAAAAATCCATCGCCTTTCTATCAGGGCTCTGTTTGGGCAAGTCCGTTGGCATGTTGATTGCGTTTGCTGAATTAGGCAAAACTCAAGAGGAAAGTGGTACATCTTTTAGGACTACCTGAAATTGAATTTTACGTACAGAGTGGAATTGAGGTCAAGAATAACATTTCGATTCGTGATCAGTCCACCTCTGAACAGTTTAGTTTCATGAAAGTCTTGAATTTAAAGAAAATTTGTGAAATTTATAGATCACAAAGTAAAACAACCTAATCATCGACGAACTTACCTCGCGTATCCCTTTTGTTTCCTGAACATGACAAATTCTACTATGCCAGAGTGAAGAAAGCCTCATCTAAGTCTGCGATATCGATTCCATGGGAAATCAGTTCATTAATCGACGGCCGATCATATTGTAAGCTGTCACTTACAGGATGCCAGCCATGAATTTTTACAGAGAAACTTCCTTAAAAATGAACAAAATTCTTTGTCTTCTATCAAAACGATTTACGACGTCTTTAATGGTGTTCGCCTTTTAAATGATCTTTCTTGACAATCTTCACAAAACGCTCGTGTGCCTTCTATTTCCCCGGCCATTCTTCAGTGTTCTACTCCTCTAGTGATTTTAGTGAGAAGAGGCGCTCTTTGTGTCAAGAGTTGGGCCTGCACTTGTGTTTTCCTTGTCCATTCTACCCTGTGCTGGCTTCATTGTGCATCCATCCTGGAGCGCGGTATGATATGAAGTAAGAGTATAAAAGAGTGTTGTACAACGGTACGCCGTGAACATTGTTGGCCACGGTAGAAGGAGGACAGGCAGTTTGGAAGTGGTTTGATGTTCATCAAGAACTCTAATTGAAAGTGCATTTCAACGTTTGAACTATTGTGATATTGGTAGCAGACATACCTTCTCTCTCTGTCGACTAAATGCGCTTTGTTGATATGATCTGTTGCAGTATAAAGAGCTCTTCACTCTCCGTATGCTACGGTAGGTGTCTCCACGGAGTCCAATGAGGGAACATTATATTTTGAAAGTTGCGTGAATCTTTTGAGCAGGGAATTTTTTTGTGTGTGCTGTAATGCAAACTAGGGAAATAGCCCACGGGAAATATTTAATATCTGCAAGTCCAGACGTGTTCTCAAATTTGTTTACTATGACAATCAGGGAATGAGTTTGGAATGTTTTTATTCGGCATTTCAATTTGGTCGCAGAATAATTCCCGATGAAATTTCCGTTTTCATCAGGAAAATCAACTGCACATGGAAGACTCTAACGTTGTAAATACGACAGGCTGAATTTTCTATGGCTTCGTTAATATTTTGATTTTAATCTTTTGCTGTCGATGACCTCACTTGAAACTGAAAGCACCTATGATGGAATAATTTCAATAATGACTGGGCAATTATTTTTTTTGGGAGTGAACATGTAGTTCGCAATAAAAATATTAAGCAGCTACTGATCACAGCTTAAATATATTTACTGCTTTTTAGGCCTGATAGAGTATTGTTTGGCCGTGTATTAAGACTGGTGGAAAATTTTTGAGGTTAAGAGCCCTCAACCATGATGGTCATTTATGCGGAAATGACAATCAAAATGTTAATAGGTTTAGGGAAATTTTCAAAACAAATATAGTATCATAGCTCATCGTAAATTTTTCAACATTAAACTGAGGAGCAGAGATATAAAGAAAATTTAGTGGGAAAGTTAAACGATCAGCGAAATTGATGAAGAGGTAGGTTTTTAAGACTTAGCAAGTGTTTTTGTATTTTCAATTTAGAGTAGCTCGCTTTGTCTATAAACACTACCAATTAATTTTCAAGCCGTTCGGCGCAAGCGAGTCACACAGTGCTGTTAAAACAGGATTGTTTTCATACTGTTTTGAAGTCTTTGCAACTGAGAATTTTTTCCCCGGGACAAGTCCCAGTCGAAAGGGAATTTTTTGTTTTTTGAATTTTGAATTTTTTTGTTTGTCAGTGAAGCGTGATTTTAATTCAATAAAACTGCCTCGTTCCCCGAACTTAAAATATTAATGACGATGGGTGAGGGAATTAGGCATTCTGACGTGGTATTTAAAAACAGACGATAAACGGTAGACCATCGACAGCAGACCCCTGGTAGGAGTCGGGCTGGCCCGTCAACACTTTTTAGTAGGCGTAAATTAAGAAGGGATTCGCTAAAGGAGAAAGCTTACTTGTCCTAAGAACAAATCCGATGCGCTCTACGTTTAATAATAGCGTACAAAGTTTCAAAATACGTAGGAAGAGAGAATATATGATACGCGACAAAGATGAGGAGAAATATGTGTCTGGAGTTGTATGCTCCGGAAGAGAAGGCACCCTTAAAAACGAAGAAAATAGCGCACAGAAGTAAATATTGCCTTTTGTAACGCAATATCTTCTGGCTTTACCTAACCTCAAGAACATACTTAGGGGGAAATGGCACCTTAATTAGTGGGCTTGAGCGTCCCTCAGGGTCAACCACAATGTATGAAAATACATTTGGTGCACATTTGATACAAGTTCCCAGCCTGTTAAATTACCAGTGTACAAACACTGTTAACAATTTTGGGTGACCGCTTAATACAGGTTCAAGCAACGTATCGCAACGCCCCGTAAAAGAAAGATTTATGCTACATTCACGCGATTGCGTGACAATTTTGAATTTCGTGATCATGTCCTGTCACACAATCCATTGTCTATCGTCAGAGCTTTAGTTCATGCCTTTTGACATAGCTCTTTGCGATCTTGTTTTAGTAACTTTTACTGTCATGAACCATTTCACAATAGAAGTTTTAAAACTAAAGGGACCAATAAAGCGGGGTTCATGGAGTATGAGTGACAGACTTGAATCAGTTCTACTGTAACAATATATCACTTTCTTTTACAATTGGACTGAAACACATTGTCAAGGCAACGGAAACAACGCTGGTTTGGTTATGCAACAATGTATTGGTTCAATTTTAAGAACACACGACCATGAACAAGCATTACTTTATTTGAATATTAGAAGGCTGTCAAATATAAAAAAATAATCAACAGAGATATGAAAATGTTGATATCTTCCGTCAGTTGGTCCACATCGTCGTTCTCCTGAAAATATGAAATAAAAACAATGTGATAGATAGATATATTATTGGTCGGTAAGCGGGCCTTTTAGGTTACATTCGAATTAATTATTTGTTGAGTTATACACCTGCGTTGCACGGCATTCTTCATCTTCGTAAAGATCAATCGTACAAAGATCGTCATCTCCAATCCTGAAACGAGAAATTTTTAAAGCGACCTCCCGTTACATTTTCATCGACACGTAGATTAATTTTCACAATTTTTTTCTTTAAGATAACTTAGTTTATACAGTCCCACTCTTATTCTAATGATTCTTGGAAGCTAGAGAACTGATTTTGCATCAGTATAATTATTTACTGAAATTTGCTTCGCAAAAACTACTTTGGTAGTAATGCCCAATTAGTATCTGGAAGGCAGGGTTCGAATCCCGTCGTAGTTTACGAGGATTATATCTTCTTTATTTATCATCCGCAGGTCAAAGTGTCTTTTATTTCTTTTAACTTAAAGGATAATTCCATTTAAGCATGATCAGACTGAGTCACTGAAAATTTTTAAAGAAGTATAAACTGGCTGAGAAGGGGGACAACGGCCATAATTCGGTTATTTCAATAGAATATTTTTTTCTTATTTAATGCGTATTATTTTGGGTCACATACCCAGTAGGATTGTCATCTGTACATTGTTGAATCCTTTTCCCGGATGTAGTCCATCCTGGGGGTGGGTAGTTGTCGTCGTCCTAACAAAGATAAAAACAGTTATGTTCCGTTATTGCGACGGGGTTTCGTTAGTTTCAGTGAGGGATGACACAAATCTCGAGACAGTCAGGTTTGAGATAACGTGACTTCAATGCATTTCTAGAAACGCCTAATCGAGAATTTACATCTAAGTTCATAAAGCCGATTGTGTTTTTTAAGAGTATTTATTGTTTGACACCGTGTACAATTTCGTCATGCTGTGTTCTTGCGTAACGGAATGGCGCATGTTGGAAATTTAATCGCTTGTTTCATCCGACGGATTTGAAAAGTAATAATTAAAAAAAAAACTTAAGCAAAGTACAAACTTTCTTAAACACCTACTTGACTGGAATTTTCCAAGCAACTTGAAGTGTTGTTATTACTGTCTAGCAAGCGCACTCCTTGTTGATCTTCGATGGAATCTGCGTCAAGCTGAGGTATTCTAAAATGTGTACGACATAAACATTGTTTTTGATAACGAGATTCCTTTCTATATAGTCGTTTATTACCAGTGGAATAAACCAAAGCAAATAAAAGTTTTATCAGATTCCTCCACAGGAAAGAAGATGAACCTTCAAAATTTGCCTCGCTCCCAGTGTGAGGCTTGATAGCTCAGTTGGGAGTAGCGCAGCGCCCAACTAGTCGGGAGTTCAACCCTTTAACTCCCAGAGGTGATTGAGATCTAACTTCAATTTCTTTTTAATATCCATACATTATCCAGCAATTAAGGAATGAGAATACTCATGCTGATCAGGTAGATGATGTTTTCGTAATAAAAACCAAATTCTTGTAACCAATTTATTAGGAAAATTAATGTGTGGCAGCCGAGAAGAGAATTAACAGTCAGTTTTTGGGAATTAAAGGATTAGGAAACGACGACGCTGACGCCGTGGACAACGTTGGTTAAAAAAATGAACATATATTCTAGCTAGAAATCTCGCGGTACTCTAGGATCATTTAGTTTGAGTCTCACTGTCAAAACTATCTCGAAACTGATTATGGAACTTGGCGTTAAATTAGAAATTGTTATTTCACATTCACGTTCTCCAGTTTGCTCATTTCACGTTGTTGTTTTGCAGAGGACGCAAAGAAATGTACAAAAATTTGTTACGCTCGTGCACAGCCATTGTTCTGTTCATTTAACCTTTTGTTTCGTGACGTTCTCGTTTCCGTTACCGTCGTAGTTTTCTTTAACTCCCTACTATGTGGGCAGGGGTTCGAATCCCGTCGAAATCTTAGTATTTTAGGCTTTCTTTCTACAATTGCTAAAATTGTAGCCCGCCTGCGAGGACCATGGCTTTATTTGATTTCAATCCGCTGGGCAAATGAAATTTATTTCATTACACATACCAGTCGTTATGATGTCTGTGATGCCCAAAAAAGCATATTTAGGGAAAAGAATACGTTTACGCAACTAAACTTCTTAGATATACTCACTCTTTGCCTGCTTCTTCTTCGTTAGAAGAGCTTGTATCTTCACCCTACAAATGTTCAAAAAACTAAAGAAGCGTTCAATTCTTAAATCTCATCAGATTCTTTAACAAAATGTTTCTCTTCAACACTAGTTAGACCAGCACAATGCTTGCAGATGTACATTTTTTAAAATTGGGTATCTCTAGCAGCCGCACCAACCTCTGAGACAAAACTAATTGTATCTACAACAGAACTAAGTACTTTCTTTAAGAGGTTGTGTTATGAATTAATCTAAAATGCTTTTTTATTTTCATTATTATTTTAAAGCGAGGTGATGATGGAGGTGTAACCTCACGGAATGAGTTGTTTGCTTTGGATGAATAATTTAAATACCATAGCATCATGTCAAGGATAATTGATAGTTTTACCTTCTCGTGTTTCGCTGCCATCTGAAATTAAAAAATATTCTTGTTAGAACAAACAACGATAGATCCCATTGTGCAGTAGTATAGGAAACGGTTAAACATATCTGTAATCAGCGCAAACAAGACTTTTCAAAGGATTCAGTTAGAATAAATGTAGGTAGTAGTCATTAGAGAAGTTCAGTGACCATTACATACAATAATTGATGACAGTGGTCTTCAGATATTGCAGCAGTTATGTGTTTAACCTGTTGAAAAAAGGAAAAAACTTCAGTTAATACTGCGAACTTAGATAGAGCAATTTGTCATGAGTGTACTCGTGTTGTTAGCTAAATTTTAGTAATTAGTTGGAGACTGTCGCAACAGTCAGCAGTAAATGTGAAAGGAAAAACACGTCGTCAGCGTGGAAATCGGTGTGGCGCCATTCAAATCGATGAATATCCGTTTCGCAAACAAGCGTTTTAAAACGTTTTCCAAACATTTGTCCTTTTAGCTAATTGTTCGACCTGAAATGGCAGATAGACTCAAACAACCTTTTATTTTGTGTTGTTCATTGTATCCTCTTTAACCCTCTGTCCCCATAAAGAGCACAGTAGGTGTGTCTGTGTTTTGGCTTGCAATATAATCATGTCAATTAAATGTGATAAGGTATTAACAAGTTGTGATTATGACCTTCACCTCCGGAAATGTGGTCTCCTTGTTTCTTGTTTTCATGCGTTTTGATACTGCCTTAGTGGTTTATTTGTGGTATTTTGTCATCAGAACG